TGTATTGAATCTCTAATAGTTTTGTCATGCTATTTTGTCAGATATCTATCTTTCACCGCACTGCTGCAGCTAATGGACATCCGTTTAGATAAACATGTTTATTTTAAACGAATATAATATGCCAGCATTGTTTTATTTTTTTTAATATTTATGGTAACACGATATATAAATATTTTTATTACATTAAAAATATAGTATTTAGATATTTAATTGCATCATATGCGTGTTAAATTAAAATTCACTTGTACGACACATCAATTATTTGGTTGATTCTGCTTTTTACAGTCATCACGCTGTTAATCTCGAATTTTGCAATTGCTCGGGGCTTTCCATTTCGATCAACCAATTCAATAAAACCGAAAGACGGAGACGCGTTGAGGACTGGCGAATCTGATGTCGCCTTCCTTCTCTCCGTACGAACGTAGCAAGCCGAGTACATTCCGCTCCTTTTTCCGTGTCGGTGCAACCGCAAACCGTCGCGATGTTTCCTGTTCTCCATACATAGCCGAGGAGTTCGGAAAGGTGTCGGAGAAAATTATACGCCGTTGAGTAACCGGCGCTCGCGCGCGTCCAAAGGGGGTCGCGCTCCGAGAATTGCGATGGGCGGGAATCGATAAACAAGTAATTTTGCATAATTACATGTAACGATGATTTCATCCTCACGTGAGTTATTCTTTATCCTGGAACGTTCTCCTACGAACGTTCTTCTACTTACATATCGCACTGAGAAAAAAATGTTAACTTGACTAAAATTTTCAACTAATTAGTAATTATTATTTTTTTAATTGAAATATTTAAGTATTTGAGTCAAATTGCGTCATGTTAGATTTAACATGTCGTATTTAATTTAAATACATAAATATTTCAATTAAAAAAATAATAATTGGTTGAAAATTTTAGTCAAGTTAACAACATTTTTTCTCAGTGTAGGATACTAGAATACGCCCGCTTGGATATTTATTGTCTACTTGTATTAACGTGCTGACCACTACTCACTTTTTTTCGTAATATTTCTGTTATTTTAATTTTATTTTACAAGCAGGAATTTAAAAAAATGTACAAATATGTACAAGGTTTAGATGCTGATGTGTCAAGTTACAGCATTGAATTGTTTATAGTAAAGAAACAAGAGCACACGCAAACAGAAAGCAAGAAAGTATAAAAGAACATTACAAGGAGCAGCCGCTTTCTTACATCGCATCGGGATGAATCGATCCGACGTCTAATTGTCAGAAGGTCTCTACTTTCTAACAAAGTAGCTTCTTCGTAGAAAGGAATCGGAAGCGTTAACTTCGTCCGAAACGCATTTGACTGCAGTGCCGTGTATTCGTTAGTAATTCGTTATGCTGCGTCGTCGTCTAGCGACGCGATAACGAAACGAGGAAATATACTCGCTTTATGCACCGGGAAGTCATTAGCATAGCACGTTTTCGTCGAAAGCATTGACGCGAATTTCCAGCCCTGTTAGACTTCTCTCTTGGAGGAGTGTTAATTAATTCCAAGTAACAACAAAATTAATTTTACTTGTAGAAAGCAATTGTAAAGCGTTTGCAACTCTCTTTGGTTAATCTATTTTGCAAACGGGTAACCGTCACAATATTTTCTATTCGCTGAAATTCGCGTTGTAATTTGTACGTTGAAATTTTCCAGCGTTGGATTAACACGATATTATATATAGAATGTCACACTTTTCTGTTTTGTTCGTAGAAAATGTCGCTAAAATAATGAAGGGGACTTTATTTTTCATCATTTTTAGTAATTAAACCTGAAATTAAATTTCCCTTTGAATGAATTCTGTTAAAGTTAATTGGAAAGAGGTCTTTCGTTGCTTATTTTCACTCGTCGCATTAAACGATGACGCGGCTAAGATGATTTCCGCTAAGATGATAAAGGGATTAATTCGGTGGCGTCCCGTATAATAAAGTGTCAACGCCGAGACACGAGATGGATTGTTTTACCCGGGGTGCTTTCGCCCTCGAGCGTCGAAACTCGTTTGCGAGCAATACCCGCCGTTTCTCTTCCGCGCCCGGATCGTCTTACGATTCTTGGTTGACAACCTTCCACACACACACACACACACACACACATATATTTTCTTGCTCGGGATCTCTGAAGGATGAAGACCATCTTCCGGATTGGATTTCACACGGGTCAATTACGAGTTTCTACTCGCCTCCGCGATTTTTACGCCTGTATTCCTCCCGTAAAAACGACGAAATCTCTTGTTTTTTTTTTCCACGTAAAATAATTTGCGTATCGTCACGTAATTTTCAACACTGAGATAATTGTTCCTTATTCAATTAGCTATTCGCAAGTTATTTACGAACGATATGAAGTATCTTGGATGTTAGAAAATAGCTTTAATTAGTTTCTTTGATTAATATTTTAATCTTTAGTCATAAAAAACTTATTTATTTTTTATCTGGATAATAATTCAGGAACTGTTCAATTTCTCTAATATCTTTTCCCCAAGATCTGTTACTTGTGACGCTTTTTATTCGTATAGAGACTCAACGGCGAGATATTAAAGCGTGACCTTTCGAACTTCTCGTCGCTCGAAAGTCTCGCGAAACTCATCAAACTCGGCGAATTTATAATTTACTCGATGTTTTTTGCGACGTGCGCCTCGGGATTCCATTCGATCTCCGTTCTCGTTACGTGGGTGATATTTTTCCAGTATCCGGAAATAAGCGGAAACGGAAGAGGAAGCGGGCACGCCTGTTCAGACGAACGTACCTCGGGCTACCGGAAACGGCACGTTCCGCCTCGTAATAGAGGCCCTTTCTTCAGAGGAATTAAATTCGCTCGAGGCTGTTTTCTTTATGCAGAGAAAAAAAGTACCAAATTAAGTCTTATTTCGGTGTTTATAATAAATACCGCATTTGTCTCTCATTATGTAATTTGCACCGATTTAGATCTTAAATGTATTTTTTGCCAGAAATAATTTGTGATTCAAATATCATAAATTAGAAAAAAAAAACATTCACATGTGTTTGTTAATTGAACGATATGAATAATCGGATGTTTAAAAGCAAATATGTTTACGACGTTATCGCTACCGTTCCTTCGAACGATGGATCAACAGATATCTTGTAATTATTTCTTTTAATTAAATAGCATTTTAGTTATTCGTTAATTTTGAGGACGCGCAGAGGGTGATTGCTCCAAGACAAGCGCTTGCTAATTGCAACGCGCGCAGAATGACGAGGGAAAGGGGTCAGATTCGAGGAGACGCGCGGTCGGGAGACGCGCGCGTCAAACGACGAAACTGGAGCAAGGCTCCAGCTGAAACGCAATCGCCGGGCGATCGGAGTCGTTCCTGTTTCTCGCGCTCTTCTATACACGTCACCGTAAGCGTGGCACTATTGTATTGCACCTTGACGTGGCCACCGTCGGTTTCGCGCGCTGCGGTTTAATAAAACCGAGTTATTTCTAACTCGATGCGGAGGAGAGAACGCGTGAAAGCCAGTCGTTCATCTCAAATAAGTTGTCGCGAGACAAAACGGCTTTAGAAAATAAATCGGAAAGCCGCTGCAAGAAACAGGATAATAAGAGACGTGCAAAAAATGCGATTTAATATAAGAAGATTTGAAATGATATACAGAGAGTGAAACGATCGACCTAAGAATAAGAATTTAATCGATTTTACCAACAACGTGGTTCTCTATTGAGCTTCCGAAGAAACGCATATATTTCGATAATTTACAATTCCGATTTTGTCACTCGTAAAATCCGCGCTTGATTAATAACCGCGGAGGAATAAAAAAGAGAAGACTTCGGGAGTAATTCTAACCGGTCTCTTGTTGAATTTTGATATGTCAGAGAGAGAGAGAGAGAAAAATGTTGAGACGGCAATGACGTACGGACACGTCTTCTGTCTTCTTTTTTTTTCCTCTACCTTCATTGCGACGCGAGTCGCGCGCTCACGTGATTATGCGGCATAATTTATGACGGCACGGTTCGCGCATCGAAATGCGACGATTTGTGCGGCGACGCTGCTTTTTGATACTCGTCTCGCACGACGATAAGATAACCGGGGAGCAGTTAAATTAGAAACTTGGGCTCCCAGCGCGTTCATTTACCTCTCATTTACGAGGTAACGCAACAGCAAGAACGGAATCTATTTCGGAAATTAAATCTGTGCGATCTTTAGATAATGCGCAATTTTAATATACATGGTGTTGTATTGTTCGCTGCTGTTGGGTCGAAAGTTGCCAAGTTAACGTGACGTAACAGCAATCGGGGCGAATTTTGCCTCTCCTCGCCGCCCCGACCGCGACGGTCGGTGCATTATGTTTGCGTTAAGACGCAATAAATATCGTCGCGCTGTTTGCACGTGAGTTTCGCATATGTAAAGTCGGTCGGCCAACACTGCTGTTACGTCATTAACATAGACACGGCTGAATGTGCGTAGCGTGAAACGAACTCGTCATTGATCGATGCATTGCGCATCAATTCCACATTGTTGTCCACATTAATTTGACCACGTTTGATGCTTTATTGCCCGATGGCAATTAATAATCGATTAGTCTAAATCGTGATGTTTTATTGTGTAATTCATTTTTGAAAATAATTTCAGCATTATATACAAATGTGTGTTATTATATATTATATTATTGACAATTTATATATATAATTAAATAATAATGTAACTGTATAATAGTATTATATATATCCTTGTATTTTAATTAATTGCGTAAAGTTTGAGATTTTTATTTGAAATAGTTCTCTATATGGAGTTGTGAATCACACATTAAATTAATTCAGTTATGAAACACGATTTAATCACAACAGCGTGATTCGGATAAGAGAGTTGCTTGATTAAAGGAGCAAGCAAGACACGCGAGAGATAACACAATTTAGTCTTTTTCGAAAATTGTTTTATTTTTTTCGTTACCCTACGTTCCTAATTTTTATTTTATCAATTATCAAGATACTCGGAGCGCAAGAAATTAAATAAAAGTCAACTTGATTTGTATTTTACATCAATTTCATTTTCTTTTTCTCAGCAACTGCGTTTGTTCATTTGTTTTGTATTTGCGTCTTTACAGGGACTCCTGGATAAGTACCTGATCCCCAAGGCTAGCAATGCCGAGAGCAAAGTATTCTACCTCAAGATGAAGGGTGACTACTACAGGTATCTCGCAGAAGTCGCCACTGGTGAAACCAGAAATAGTACGTATCGATCTTCCTCGCGTTACTTTGCGATCCCCCGGGGAGACCTCGAAGCGAGAGAGAGAGAGACGCGAAAGCGCGCGATTACCATCTTTTGTAGTGATACAATCGTGACTTCTTATCCGATAGTAACGTAAAAGGTGCCGTCCAAAATCTATCGTTGCCACATCAATGCTCCGAAAATCGTTACCTCTCGCTTCGATCGCCTCCTCGATGTGATCGATGCAACTGCGTCTAAGTTATGCAAGTGCCCGAGATGGATGGGATACACTTCTCTCAAAATCGAACACTTGTGGCACTCGTGTTGCGACGCAGCTGCATCGACAGATGCTTCTTTTTGATGTATGGGCGGATCCTTGGACTTTTACATCGGAAACAGAGTCAGTTGTAGTCTCAGTCGGTCACAGTGAAAGTCGGTTGTGACGTTCGCGAGTGAAACTTGAGTCACGAGGCTCTACGAAGAATATCAACTACAAAGATAATTATTAACTATTAATTTAAGTATTTTTTTATATCTTTTGTTTTTGTGTATAATTATTTGATGCCATGTATTGACAATATTAGGCCCAGTTTCGCAAGTGTCGGTTAACTTTTAACCTTAGATTAACTCATTCTTTGTCTCCTTCTAACGTCCCTCTTAGAAAGAGACGAAGAGTGAGTTAATCTAAGGTTAAAAGTTTACTTGTGAAACTGGGCCTTAGACGTTGAAGATTAACTTAGAGACCCTGTTTCTTAAATTAATTGAATACATTTATTGGAATTTACATTTTTTAGAATTATAATAAAGTTAGCATTTTTATGAGATTTATACCAAACGAAGTTTATATAAAGTTCAGGGAATTGCAAATATTTATGTTAAAATGAATTAGATTTAGATGAAAATAGATTGTTCATCTGTTTTCTTTATATACATTGCCTAAAAAGCAATCGAGCTGCTTAGAACGTAAATAGAGCAAATCGATAACTAATATAAATAGTTAATCTATAATATAAATAATACAAATGGTTAGTCTATAAATTTTAATAAAAAATATAGAAATTAAGAGCTTTTTAAGTTAATGAAAAAGTTTAATTCCAAGTTAATTCTTTCACGGCATTTCGAAACGCGATAAATCCATGTTACGTACCTCTGAGTTCTAAGTAGCTCTCAAATCAACTTGATACGAAGCGTGTTAGTTCACGCAAAACAAGACAAACAGACATGTTGATGATCCACGTAATATCCAGCCGTGGTAGACGACAGCCAGAAGGCATACCAGGATGCCTTCGAAATCAGCAAGTCAAAGATGCAGCCTACCCACCCGATCAGGCTAGGTCTCGCCCTCAACTTTTCTGTCTTCTATTACGAGATTCTCAATTCACCAGACAAGGCCTGTCAACTGGCCAAACAGGTACACGATCAGAGGAACTAATCCTTATCTTTCTAGCGATTCCGTGGGATAGAGAGCTCGATGACGGTGATGGTGGTGACGGTGCACAGTGGTGACAAAAAAGTTTATCTTACACGAACGACTCGTTCTATCAACTTGTCTACTTCTGTCCTACAAAGATCGTCGACGTCATCTTCTAGTTTGCTACTTCGAAACGCGTTATCGGTCTCGGTAACGATTGTCCCGAGATACGGCACAACTATATCTCTAAACGAACAGCGATGTTAAAATCTGTGATAACTTACTTGCAAAGTAAAATATTTGACCAGAGATAAAAAGATAAAAAGTAATATTACATACACAAACGTATTGTAAAAAATATCAACCGATAATAGTGTAACATTGTTAAATGTAATATCGAGATGCAGTTTTAATAACTAAGTGCTCTTTCGATAACTATAATTGCACAGCTGTTGACCAATTTGCTTAAACACATTCCTACAAATAGCGCGTGTAAACTTGTCTGATATGCAGAAAAAAGCGCCTGTATTTAAATTTTTAATAATACCGTCGGGCGTTCATTTGACTCATACGCGATGACTCAGATGACGGAGATGCACGTCCCAGCGGGGTCATATCATGGAAGATCGGTGACGATTTATGGACACGGCTCGTTCAAGGCCGACGCAGTTCCGAGTGAAACGGCCACGCGCGTGCGGTCTTTGTAGGACAAGACGCGAGGCGAATCGTTGAAATTCTCTTGCATTTTTCCTCCTTTTATTCAGCTTTCGTTCGCCTTTCCTCTCCTCGCGCTCCTCTCCCGACGACAACGACAATTTATTATTACTTCAATGATCACGGCGCAAAAATGAGGTCGTGGAAGGTGTAATCTGAATAGAGGCTGATTTGCATTTGCAGCGGTAGTCGAGGATTCGCAGAAGGCGTACCAGGAGGCGTTTGACATTGCGAAGGCGAAAATGCAGCCTACGCACCCGATTAGGCTCGGCCTTGCCCTCAACTTCTCCGTTTTTTATTACGAAATTATCAATTCCCCGGCTAGAGCCTGTCACTTAGCCAAGCAGGTTAGAGGGAGGATTTGTGGAGGGCTTGTGCTTTAGCTACTGCGTGATAGTTTTCTCTAATATAAACCCTCTGTATGCATTAACGCGTTCGCCGTCGAACTGGGTACGTGATAAGACTGCTGATAAGAAACACGGGCGAGAATTAGAGCTATATACTTTGATTAAAGCACTCCTGCTAAAATTTCGGTCTTTCTTCGTGATTTGAGCAATAAAGAAAGAGTAAGAACCGCGAGTCTTATTTCTTCGTTGAATTAGATAATTAGAAACATTAAAATGTTTATATTTATCTTTTTTATATTCTATTTTTTTATATTCTATATTTAAATCATAGGGAATCAGCACTTCAACAGTCTTACTATGAAATCGACAGTTTTTGCCGTGTGAATTTAATTTATCCTATCTATTCTCTAACGACCAAATTCCCTAATTTGATTTAATTCTAACATTAATATTTTTGTGTGAATGTTGTGCCATTTAATCCTCTTTCAAATTGCTAATACGTAATTAGTAAACTGAGATACTTCTCCACTGATACCGCACTAACCATCCCGCATCGTATTCTCTATTTATATTAATTAAGTAATAGTTTGATTGTAATTATAGATATGACTTTATGGATATTTGACCAAATTTATATAATTGTACTCATAAAATGAGTCTTATTTCTTTATTTGAAAATACATGTACATTTTAGAATGCTATTTTCCTATTTTATTTGGAAATTAAATTGTTCTTTTATTAAAAGATAACATTGAGATTGTAGTATATAGAATAAAAACGTATCTGTGACGCATTTATAACTTTGCAGGCGTTTGACGATGGGATCGCAAAGCTCAAGAGACTTAAAGAATTAAATCTTTTTGCAGGCGTTCGACGATGCGATCGCGGAGCTGGACACACTTAATGAAGACAGCTACAAAGATTCCACATTGATCATGCAGCTTCTGCGCGACAACCTCACTCTGTGGACCAGTGACACGCAGGGCGACGGGGACGAGCCACAGGAGGGCGGCGACAACTAACCTTCCTAAGCTTAAGTCCTTTCTAAACCTAATAAGAACATCCTATTCTCTATCGTCCCCCCGTCCCCCTGAAGTGCTCACCCATATGTCCATCCACCCAGATCCATCCATCCATGTCCACCTGACCTCTTGTCCCTCGCGTACCTCGTTTCCTTCTTTCCTTCCTTCCTTCCAATCGAAGACCTCCCTTTTCCTTAAATCACTCTCCTTTTCAAAAAACTGATCTTTCTCTCTTTTTCTCTCTCTATCTCTTTCTCTTTCTCTTTTTCCTGACATGACCGCACACTGCTGCCAATGCCACCGCCACAGCTGCTACATCCGGTTTGAAAAATTCGAACGTCGAGAGCTTTCGAATTATTCACTAATGCTCGATCGTGTCTGTTCGCGAATGATGGCAAGAAGGATCTTAAAGATCGAACTTAGACTCGAAATTGGAATCTCGGTCGATACTCGGGATAGACGGAAAGGCAAGAACGTTGATCGTGAAGCATCGAGTCAAGAAGACTATCATTGGCGAGGAGAGAAGAACAATCGAGTAGGGCGTGGATCATTCGGTCTCTCGCGCACGAAATTTCTTAAATAAAAAAGGAATCCATTTATTATTGACCCATTTGTATGGAGGAACAGGAAGGAGCGAATTGTGGATGAATAGAGGAAAGGACAGGAGGAGACACACACACTCACATCTCCCCTGCATACCTTGTCTCGTTGACGCGAAAATCATTGCGCGAACGCGCGCGTGCATGCATGCACCTCATTGTCGATAACGCACATAGCAGAAAAAAGAAAGCAAACGCTAGATTATTTGAGTTTTGCGAATAGAAAACGAGAAAGTGATGTACTATTAAAGGGTAAATCACATCGGGACGAGACATGGAATGCAGAGGACCGACCGACCCACTGTCATTACTCCCAAAATCTGTTCGCTGCTTACCATCTCAAAAAAGAAAAACATTAAAGTTAAAACGAGAAAAGAAACAGCGCGGAGGTACGAGAAGAAGCGAAGAGAACGAGGAAATGAAAAAAAAGCACGCATGAATCTACTGCATTATATCCAGTTGTCATTTAAATTAAATTTCACATTGTCTAGCAAGTAACGAATATTATTATACGAAGGGAAGAATGCAGGAGGAGAAAGGAGAGTAAAAACAAATACATTAAGTTATTAAGTTCCAAAACAAACAACAGTGGTGACTTGATTTTTCAAACACTGTATCTTTTTTTTTTTTTATTTTTTTCTCCTCTCTCTCCAACATTACCACCATGATTGCGCACATGATATGATTTGCATGCAATTCAATATCTCTTCCTACGCGGATTTTCCTCCCTTTTCCTTTTGCCACGACCGAAACCTCGCGAATTTACTGAAAGTCCGAAGTCGCGACAGTCCGACAGTTTGGGATTAAGTTCCTTGGATTTCTCTTATTACTTTTCAATCTGTCTGTAATTTATCCACGGAGAGAAAAGATTGAATCGATCAGGGTCGTTGGTAGCATATAAGTATTATCACAATTGTGTTGTAACGCGAAGAGAAAGAGAAGACGTTTCTCGTCGTCGTTCTGGTCGTCGTCGCGGTCGTTCGCACATATTTTCCCCTAAGTTTCGTGCGATCGTGAAACGGAATGCGGAAGAAGGAGGACGAGGATCTGAAGAGCCGCTCGTTTCCCCATTGTCGTCGTCGAGCGCAGAGATTACACACGTGCGACACGTTATTAAGAGATTGCATATTCTGGACCTTCAACTTCCTCTCGCTCTTCTATTCGACCGCTCGTCTCTCTCTCTTTCTCTATTATACTATACGCAATTATATAATATATACACAAAGATATATAAATATATTTATATCACGTAACTCTTAGCAAGTTTGTAGCGCGGTCGAGAAGAATGGAGAGAGAACGAGTTATACGCACACAACATACACACGAATAGATATATAGCCACGTATTTACTTTCGTCCTGCGATATTCATTTCCGAGAGTTTGCGAGAAAATTATATACGTGTTGCGAATCACGATTTACAATTGCTTCTCGAAGATAGCGTCGTGTAAGGTAGAGTATCAAGGCTTCCTCGAGGGAGAGGAAGCTCGCAACGCTTGGTCCCTCGATCGAGGTGTACACATCGAAGAAAGTCACGGAGAAGAATTTGCATATACAATTACGATTGATTGATTAGAATATAAGACCGAGACGATGTGTCGAATAATAAATTACGCAACGTATTTGAATTGAGTGTTAACAATTTATATCGGACGATTTAGGTCTTCGACGTGTACCACGTGTTTGTAACGCGATGTAAGTATTTCGATCATTGTTAACAGAAAAGATTCTACGTTAGAGGGGAAACCGCAAGATTCCAACGGGAGGTCTAAGACTATCCAAAATCACGCTCTCCGCTCGCGTTCGACATCCCGACGCGAAGAGAAGAAAAAGAGATATGAAACGAGGAGCTGAAATGCATCCTCGTATGCTCTTCTCGTATATATATGTATAATTAAGTATATGTATATACGCGCGTACTGACAGCACATATATATATATATTCATACATACACACATACACACATTGTATCACGCATATGTAATATCGCCGCCTATGGGTGCCAGCCAGTTCTCAGCAAGTTAGTCGCTAATTACACGTGAATGGGTAAACGTTTTCCTGTTATCGCGTTAATATTTCTCGATGTATAATCGGTGTGTCTTTGTCGCAACAACATTGTCCGTAATCGCCGGGAAGGGGAGAAACACGCGGGAATAACGTTCGGTTGCTAGGAAGGAAGGGGAGAAAGAGAAAAACGAGAGTGAGACGGACGCGGTGTCGAAGAGACGATGAGCAGTGACAGCATTCGAATGGCGACTCTTCCTATCCACCTTCCTCCTCCTTCCGTCAAATGGGAGCGAGAATGAATACGTGTACGATTGAAGTCTCGTGTTTATAATTCATCGCCGATATCAGTTTCGTTTCTATCGCAGTAGTAGATGCGGGACGTGGAAATCAAGCCGGTACTCTGGCAGAAATAATTCGCGATTTGCGTCCATTACAGACGAGGTCTTTTAATGTCGAGGCAGGATAAAATGAAGATAAGATACAGATGACAAGAAATGAGATGTAACGTGAAATAAGAGTATATTTACGCGACTTGGAGATCAAATACGATCGTGGAAATTCTTATGCTTGCTTCTTGTCGTTTAAATCTTGTTCTTTCGTTTCGTTCTGCCTCGAAATTTTGCTATTTAAGAGACTTAAGATCGAGGAGTCGAACGATGAAGGCTACAGCCTACAAATTTCATCTCTCTGAGCCTATCTCTTCCGGAAAGTCCTCGTTCAACGAGGGCTGGCTGGGCGAGACTGGGTGTGTGTATGTGCGTGCGTGTGTAATCAAAAGTGGTAAGATACGCAGGCCATCACGATGCCATCGGCCAGCGGGTCCTCAGATATATCATCCTTCTCTTTTCATCCCCACCTCTCGCGAGTCCTCTTTCTCCTCCGAGTACAATAGTTCCTCCTTTCGCCTCTTTCTCTTGAATCTACTCTTCAGGGATGTTTTCTTCAATCTAACTTATCCTTATCCCGCTCACCACCCAATTCAACAAATCGAACGTTAACATCTTGTGTTCTTTTCATTTTCTGGATATTATGAATTTTCTAAAATAAACGTTATATGTTTTTTTAATAATCCTGGCAGTGACTTTACTCGGTCGGGAGAGCTATCCTCATTATCATCAATATCATCATCATCATTCATCATCATCATCATCATCATCCAGCATCATCATCATTATCATTATCGTCATAATCATCATCATCTTTATCTTCATCTTGATCTTCATCTTCATCGTCATCTTTATCTTCATCATCATTGCATTATCAGCGGCTTCTTAGCACGTAAAGAATTTCTTCGACCCTCTTTACCATCCAAGTCTCCTCCTTTTTCAAATCGATTATCTCGAATAAAAAACACGAGCTATACTTTTTGAGGGCAATTTGTGCGTACGTTAGCGATCGCGAGAAGAGCGACGACGACACGTCTTTTCATTCCACTACAAATTCAGTCACATGAATTCACACGATTTGTCCTTCGTTATCCTGCTCCCGCTCTTTTCTTCACATACGGAAAGCCATTGCCATCCATCCAGCTACCTATTTTCCTCCAACCATTTATTCTCTTCGCCTTTTCTTCCCCCTTTTCTTCCTTCTATTCCACCCTTTTCCTCCCCGACCCAAATTACGTTGTTCTATTTGTATTTATCATCAACCCATCGTAATTGTAAATTATAATTATTATAAACGTTTACACGAAATAATAAATTCTGATAAAATGTCTGAGAAAAAAAAACCATAATCCACAGTTTTGTGTGTCTTGCTTTGCGACGACGATTGCCATCGTACCGAAGGAGGCGTTTGTACATGCTCGACGATGTTTCACGATCCCGGGACAAAAGTCGAGATTACATAACATGTGGACTTCATCGTGAATCGTTCTAAAGGCTAAAGGATTCCAGCAATATCGCTTATCAATAAGCTGTCTCATTGGATCGGAATGACTGTCTTCTTTCATTCTTCGGGATCCATCGATTTGTTCGACACTTCGAAGCGATTTGTTCCGTGCTTTTTGAAAGAGTATTGAAATCTGCGAAACGCCAAATAATCTGAGTAAACGCTTGAAACACGTAACATTTTTTGATAAATACATGAGATGATTACTCATCGAATATACAAACGCTGAACGTCACAAGCGCGTTATAGTTGTATGTAATAACTAATAAGTTAATGCTTATTACATACATTTCCTAGAAACGGTTTTATTTTAATCTTTTATCACGAAGTCCTACTTGCAAGTTCATTTCCATTCCACAAGACGATGTTACGTCTTATATAATTTTTATCTTGCTGCTCTTTTTATATTTATTTATCAATCATGACTCAACGAACGACAAACGGTTCATTGCTTTTGCGGCAGCTCGGGCGATGGCAGAAATTGCAGTTGCTGCAATTCTGCCACAAAAAATATCAAAGAGGGAGATATAGAGAGAGAGAGAGAGAAAAAGAGAAGAAGAAAATAGAGTCAGGAGAGAATATTCGCGTAAGGGTGATGATTGGCATGATTGAAGTTTAGCAATATCGAGAGCATGCAGGAGAGACTTTTTCATGTACTTAAAACGGGGTATTTATTATGATTGCTGTTGTGGGTATCATTGTGCTCGATGTATATTCCCTGTCCCTTTACACCCCTTTTGCCCTACCCTACCCTGCCCTTCCCCCTGCCTGCTCCTCCATTTTTCTTGTCGATGGTATATCTACACATGTACTTGTATACACGACTTACGCATTATGTAATATGTATACATATATATATACATATGCATACACCAGAGAAGAGACCATAGAGATATAAGAATCTCTATGGAAGAGACACGATAAGAAAAAAAAAAGATACGACGCGAGATACATATATGTATATGTACGCGTGCCTTTTCCGACAAGAAAGGCCTACGATTAATCATGCTAAATTTTTTGCACAATTTATACGTGTAGCCGATACGAGATTTACGGTTTTTGCTAATGAGAGTAGCGAATTATCACTTAACGCGCGAGTGACAGGACGCGAAGTGGTGAGGAGGAATAAACTCGCGGGGGGGAAGATAAATAATAAAGGAGACAAAGGGAAAACGAGAAGAAAAATTCCGAAATCGAGCGTCGTCGTTCCCTACTCGACTTGTTCTTTGTGGAATTCGCGGCCGCTCGATGTCGATGCAGCCACTTGTCGCGAGACTAGATAGAGACATGTAGATCCAGGTGAATCTCAACCCGTGGGGGTCGCGCGACACCCTCGGACAATTTGAAGATCGATATGGACGACTGAGGATTTGTAATCCGAAGGAGAGATCTCGGATCGTCTCTCCGAGAGAGAGGGGGAGAGAAAGAGAGAGAAACAGAGACCTCTCTCGTCCAGGACGGGGTTGAGAGTCTCCGCGTTAGGTGTAGAATACCATTTTCGTGCGGTAGACGAGCTCCCGCAGTAGACATTCCCAGGAACACCGAGGCGGCAAAAGCCGAAGGGGTTGCTACTTCAGTCTTCGAACATACGATTTCATCCTCACATCAACCAAGTCTGAATTGATGACTTTTTCTATTACAGAAACATTCGTGATTTAGACGAGGAGGAAAAAAATCAATTTTTATTCGCATATTATAGACACTTACTGTTTCTTTAATAACTTTTATTCGATATCTTTTAATATACATATTCACAGTTGTACAAGTTTATTCACGGATATATATCAATTTCATTTTATTTTTTCGTATCGCATTGCCATGGCGCTTTGGGGCATTGCGTCAGGCGTTTGATGCAATATTGCGTCAACTCGCCTTTGGTTTTCGTCGACCAAACGCGCCGAGAGGGAAATCCCTCTCGGCATGCAACAGTAATCCAAATTGAGTCTTTCGACTCGTTTAAGTTTAAATAATCTATCGAAGAAATAGTTTTTTTTTTCTTTTCTCCGCGACGTCGACTTGTATTACGCGGCCTTCGATTTTGTCGCCGCGCGAACCTCGCTAGAACGAAGGTTTTCCTCGGTTTTGCTCTTCTACGAATGTAAGCCTGTTTTTAGCTGTCGCTCCCGAAAAACCCTCGCCCCTTCACCCGCTCCCCCGCCCCCTCCCACCCCCATTCGATATAGATCAATGCCGTTTCAATCGAAATATAATACACGTTAAATGGATTAACAAAGAAACAAGACGACGCTGATACTTGGCGGGGTGGTGTTTGTAAATAAAAGCTGTCAAAGCGACGAAACGGTGCAGTCATTTCACCCACATCAATCGCTGCGTCGGGAACGCGGATTCGGGTATTGCAACGAAATCTTCGCTTACTCTTGCGCAGTGCAAAAGCCACGAAATTAATCGAACGTAAAAGCGTAACAAGTGTTTCGACCGATATTCGATGTTAATGTTGGTCGTGTTTTTCTAGGAATATATTCCCCTTCCTGAGAAGAATATACTGTCACGACTCAAAAAATTTCGATTTTGAGTTAAACCTATATAAGAACTATGTATAAAATGCTGCAGTAATAGTCTCACAAGTCTATATGCGAAATCCGCTGTACGAGGCAGAAGTATTGTTAAGTTCTTTTAAACCAATTATGTTGCGGTTTCCTGGATGAATAGTGTCATAAATGGATTGACAGGTGAATCACACCAGACCTCTTCAAGAGACAGAATATAAGTTTCATTATAACAAAATAAGATAATTAAAATTTGTTAGCTATTTCACAATTCAAAAAAATTGAATTGAATTTTTCCTGTCTCCTGAAAATTGTGAAATTTTTTAGTTGTGACAGTATATTCTTCTCGGGGTGCGATATATTAAGATATTTTATCAGAATGCTTTTATTGAGCTAGAGCCATCTTCACGGCAATCTTTAGAGCGGATTTTTCATTAAGAGCGAAACTTAGCTTCATTACGGAAATGTCTAAGATATCGGTCATCTTTGTTCCAATCCAGAAAACTCGACGTTTCGAAGATCATCGGCTAGGATTCAACCGAGGGTGATCATCCGATCTTGGAAACGTCGAGGCTGGACCTGGCGATCGAATCGTTTTCTCGCGATGACTCATTATTCCTTGTAATGGAAATCTATGTAACGGGAAGCCGCGATTGCGACATGCAACGCGGAGTTTCGCGGGCGACCCCGTGGATTTTGGTTTTCGCTGCGTTTACAAGTTCATCAGGTACAAATATCGCGGATCTTTGTACCCGTCAGACTTTACTCAGAGTCACGCGAAAGAACTGTTTCATGTCGACGAGCGTCGCGGATTGCGTCATTGTCAGTCGGCCGTCGCGTCTCGTCCTGGAAGGTGCGCTCGCTATTTAAGCTGGTCCCTGCGCGCCGATTGTCACGTAGAAGCCATTTCCTCGTCGAGGTGGAACATCAACGACGATCGAGCCACGACGATAAGTAGCGGGATCGACGAAGCGGTTATAAAGTTGCTAAAGACAGTTTTGTTATTCTTAATAATGATATGCGCGCAACGATAAGCGAAAATATGATAATTTTCGAGTTTTGCATTTGGATGGACACATTTTAATTGCACACTTGAGTGGACATTTTTGTATTGTCACCAAAGTGGACATTTTTCAATTGTTACCAGACTTTTAAGTGTTACCTGCACCCCCGTTTAGAAAATGGACAGTTATCAAGATCATCATCAGGTAGGTTTATTTTAATTCTTTTTCTTAATAAACAGAAGATTAAGAAACAAAACGTGCGTATAATAGAGATTGATCAGTTTTATCGCGCGATGTGTCACAGCTGCCCCGCTTATCTTCTCTTCTATCTTAATCCGTAATATTCAGTTAAAGTCAACATCGATCTGCAGCATTAACTTTTATTTTTAGCGTTTTTTCTTGGCTGCACTACCGCCCTGCACTGCCCTGCACTACCCAATAGCGTTGCACTAATGTTGCACTAGTGTTGCACTAGTGGGCGATAGTGCAGCCAAGAGAAAACGCTATTTGATATCAATGTCGAGTGCAGTGAGCATCTGTTTTGAACGCATACAAAATTTATCTCAGCCTAGCGATTAAATATGGCTTAATTAATAATAAATATCGATTCTTTTCGTATTAATGATTATCACGTTCATATTACGTTTCTATAAAATTAAAAACGTGCTTTGTTTATGGATTTTTTCACGCATTACTTATTTTACTGTGCTACAATTTTCGATCGGAAGCTTCTCAGCAGGTGAAATCTGAAATAAAATTTCTCTCGAGCCGGGAGGAACAGTTTTTCGCTATCCATTTTGAAATTCTTTCGGCGTACTTCAGCTCGTTCCATTTTTTCGAATTTTCCGCCTCGCGCGCGACTCGTTCGAAATCGCTCGGGCGCCGTGATTGGCCCGAGCGACGATGGTGGCGGCGGCGGTGGGGTGGGGGGTGGCGCGCGGCCAGCCCAAAGGTCACCTTCAGTCGGTCGGACGTGGCTGTGTGGCGGCAGATGTCCGTCAGAGAAGCGTGAGCAACGGTGGGACATCGTCGTCGTTGCGATCGTCAGTCGCGTCTCTCTGGTGAGTCGAACCGCTCGTCGTCGACGATCGCGATCATCGATCGGTCGCCGATTTTCAAGCGCGCGGCGCGCACCGTCGTCGCGACGCCTGTCATCCACACGCGACTGTCAATTGATCGGTCAAAGTGGTCAAGTGGTTGCGAGTCTCGTCGACTCGCTTCGAAGTTTCGAACCCGATCCGCGTCGTATCCCGATACTGCCGAGCTGGCGAGTTGACATTTTACTCGCTGTTTGATCTCGTTTTAAGTGGCTGCCGAGGGTGCTTTTAGGTTAACCTCTCGCTAGGTAAGCAGGCATGATTACTACGCTGTGGGAGGGCGGCAATATGGTCTAGTGGTAGAACGCTAAACTCGTAATCTGAGGAACCAGGTTCGAGTTCACTAGAGCCATGTAAACATGGAAAGTTTTTTTCAAAAGCTGCGCTGTCCGTGCAAGATAGGCTCTTGTGCGGAGCAAACTGGGCTCCGTCTTTCGGAAAGAGACGTTAAGCCGTTGGTCCAAAGGGTTAAGTGAGAGGAGAAGGGGGTAGTATTGGATGAGAATTGAATAAAGGATTGGGAACGTCCCTACAAAAACGCCTTGCAACCCTGAGGGGAGTCAATAAACGTGTTTATCTTTATCTTTACTACGCTGCGGGAAAACAGCTATAACGATTCACGTGACGCTTGTAAAAAGTATGGACTCCGATCTCGGTGAATGCCAAACAATTCGACGGACAATATAGTTGCATAAGAGGAATCGTGGAATTTGTCTTCGAACGATTGATTTTCTTCGCTTGATGCCTGGGCGAATGGCGATGTTGCTCTAATTAGAGCGTCATAGAATTAATTGTCATCGCAGCATCCGTCGTAGGAGCATATATCTCGCGATGAGCGATGACATACTTAATTGCATCTCACGCGAGATGTTTATCTGCCGTTATCGCGTGTCGCCGGAACGAGCGCGAGATCGGAGCAACGTCCTCCGGAACC